CATTTCCTTGGTCATTGTTTCACACTGCCTTTGACGCCTCAGACTGGATTATATGGTTTTCATCCTTTACTTCATGTGTCAGCCCGTCTGCAGTCTGCATGTACTCTTGAGTCTGTACTGTAGTGTCTCAGTCAAGCCAGCAGATGGGGGAAGGAAACGTCTTTATGTCATGAATGAGAGTGTGTACAGCAGCAGCAGCAGCGGCGGCAGTGGCAGCGGCGGCAGCAGCAGCAGGATGAGAGACGATTGCAGGGCTCACAGTGTGTGCAGCGACCGCACGCCACTTTGCTTCGTATCTGAGAGGAAAAACTTCAGTGTTTGTTTCACGTCCAAAATTGAGAATATTTAAAATCCTTTAAGTGGCATTAGTTCTCTTAAAAACTCAGCTTTGGTTTACTGAGCTTTGGTAACAAATCATCTGTTTCAAATGAGAAGTGTATCTGTTTTATGAGTGTAGTAAAAACTTAAATTTGTGTTTATTTTTATTGTTAAAACTTCAGAGTTCACATCTGGCAAAAGGTTTTTCTAATCATCTGGATTTTCAAAAGTAAGGAAACAATGTTTTTTACATTTGACTTTTACATATTTCTCATTCACTGGGTTGTAAAAGCAAAAATGTATAAAGATAAACTTTTACATTTTGTCTTCATGAATTATTAGAGAAATTCAAGTGTAGCAAAGGAAAACACAGTCAGTGTGTTTTTGAACAAAAGACAGAAAAGATTCAAGATTTAAAAGTTTTCACAAATAAGAGCTGCACTTATTTTTAAAGCAAATCATGTCACAAAATGTCGCATATTTAGCTTTTTCTTTTTTCATGCAATTAATATGAAAATTAAATTCACTTATGAGTGTATTTTGAGTTTGTCTCATGAAAATCTTGCATTAGTTTTCAAGAAACAACATAAAGAAAATCCTGTCTGATTCCTGCTTTCACTTCAAGACCTCAAATGCCCTCTAACAAATGTTTCAGATTTTATATTCATCATTTCATTTCTTTATTTGAGAGAAAATCTATCCAATTTTTGCAGAAATACTAATATTAATGCAGCTGAAACTTCACCAACAAAAGTTTCACATTTTAACTCAAACGCTTTGATTTCAGACAAGATTGCAGCTCACGGCCACAGAGTCGTCGTGGGTGGATGAAGTTTAAGGTAGATTTAAATAGTGTCATATGGAGGAGGTGAGGTGGAGCTGGCTGGGGGTGAGGGGCTGAGGGGGGTGTACCAGGGGAGGAAGGGGAGGAGAATCAAGTTACTCTGGTGCTTTAGAAACGCACTGTAAAGCCACAGGATACACACATGCACTCTCGCTGGCTCGCACACACTCACACACTCTCTCTCCCTGAAAGGAGTGTCTCTGGGAGATGATTTCCTTCCCCTGCGCGTCGTCCCCCTCGCGCCCCCTCCCCCCGCTCCTCGGCCCCCTCCCCTCGGCTACGCAGTGTAAACACACTGTTCCAGAGGAATGTTGGACTCCCTGACCTCCGCTGCAGTTCACTCGGTTCAGCCTGGCCGCGCTGTGCTCCAGCATCAGCAGCAGCAGCCCCCACCTCCTCCTCCTCCTTCTCCCCCCACCTCCCTCACCCGTCTCCCCCCCCTCAGGAGCCCCTTTACTTCTCTCTCTCTTTATTTTTTTCACTCCTTCTCCTTGTCTCGCCTCTCCTCCTCTACTCATTTTTTGTCTTACCCCCTTTTTCTTTCCTGTCCTTGCCCCCCACCACCTCCACCCCCCATCCTTCCCCAACCACTTCTTTTTTTTTTTTACTCCCCCTTGTTCTCCCTCTCTTCTGACTTCCCCGTCCTTTATTTCTTTCTCTCACTTATGTCGTGTCTCTCGCAGTCGTCTCGCAGCGTAGCCGCGGATTGCACCTCTTTTCTGTCTTCTCCTTTATGTCTGGCTCACTTTGCTGACTTGATTGGCACATCAGAACTGGAGCTGACAGGATTTTGGAGTAAAAACCTGCAGCTGGAGTGAAACCATGACAACTTGTAGGAGGCGTAGTAACCAGATTGTGCATGCAAACATGCTGTATGCACTCATGTTACCTGCAAAGAACATATCATCCTCAGACGCCTTTTGTGTGCAGAAAAACCCATGCACATGTACAGGCCACCTCTGCACAGTCTCCCGCCTCACTTTACTCTCCCCTCCCCTCTTCTACCTCCCCCCACCTCAGCCCACAGTGGACCGTGGTTCCTAGAAACAGGATACAGAGAGCCAGAGGCTTTAGTGTTTCTACTCTGAGGTGTCTGAGGGTACAGAGAGCAGAGAGGTTACAAGTGCATCCGGCTGCTCGTCCATGTGATTACTGAGGTGACAAGATGGCAGACGTGCCACCGCTTGCACTTTTTTCCTGACCGTGGTGTTTCAGCTCACGACGGCTCAAGGGGTTTAGCTGCTGCAGGATAGAGGAGATTATAAATACATGTAGCCGGTCATTGCAGGTCACACTGGATGCAAACGTCTGGGGGAATCGGAGTGATGGTGTGTTTGTAATGGATGCTTCTCCTGCTGCTGCTGCTGCTGCTGCTGCTGCTGCAGGGGCTACATGAGGGCAAAGCAGCCAGCCAGTTTTACAGCCAGTCTGTCAGGCTGCCAGCTAACCTGAGCAGCAGGGTCAGCAGCCAGCCTGCACAGCGAGCATGAATATAGATAGACCAGCAGAGAAAGCATTTGTGAGGCCGTTTTTAGCATGCAAACCAAATCCTCTACACTCAGAGGCAACAGTGCAAATTTATGCATTTACATTTGAAGAGACAGTTTTACATCTCTCTTTCCTGCTCTTCCTCCAGAGGTGACTTTTATGCTAAATTCTGCCCTGGAAATTTGGAGGAAAACTTCCTCTCAGTCAAAGCAGCCGGGATGTTGAACTCTTTACCGCTGAGTATCAGGGAGAGCGGGGCATTTTAACATCTTAAATTTAGTCTGAAACATGTTTGAAGGACAGTCAGGTCTGCAGGCATTAAACTTAGACACGCTGAATGTGGCCAGCACTGATACTGAGTGTATGCCAGTCTCTCTTTTTATAATGTCTTTGGAATCATTAATGGTGAGCTACCAAGTTGGAGGGCTGCATGTTTTGTCTGGAGCGAGTTTGAGGATGATTGTCATTGTTTGATTTGTGTCTCGTATGGTTTTTATCATGTTTGAATTTTTTCTCCCAGAAAGATGGAGGTCTCAATCATGTGCTGGTCTCTTTTAATTCTGCTCATTACTTTAGGTAGAAGCTTTATCTTGGCATTAAAATGTATTTTGCATCTGTTGCTCTAAAACTTGTAAATATTGTTCTGCAGTTCCAGATGTGTAAACTACGCGTGCCATGGGTACTTATGCCTCCCTATACCGTCAGAGATGTCAGCTTCTGAGCTTGCACTGATGGTAAACCAGTTGGTCCCCCTATATACAGTATATTGAATTTCCCCTTCGGGGATCAATAAAGTTCTTATCTTATCTTATCTTTTAAAGAGATGGATGCTGCATCTGTGACTTCCAGGACAGTTTTTCCACTTTGCTTCAGATGATCTTAAATAGTCTTCCACCCACGGGAGTCACCAGCCCTCTGGATCATGTTTATAAATGGTTTTCTCTTTGACATGGTTTTGACCTGCATTTATAGATGCAGTAATAAACTGCATTCACAGACACAGTGATTATGAGCCTATGCAGTAATCTCCACTACAGAGTCATGTCAATTTTTTAAAGCAGTGCCACCTCAGGTCTTAAAGGTCGCAGACGTCAATTGACTAATGTCAACATGTACTGTAGAAAATGAAATTTCAATTTTTTTTTTTAAGTTTTACATGTCGGAGCTTTTTGCTTTTGGCCCAGGAAAACTTTCCCTCGTAACTTCATGAAGACTCCTCCTCTCTCTCCTCTCCAGGGTGGCCTTTATATACTCAGTCATGATACTAACCTGTTGTAAGTTAGCAGCTAGTTGGAAGACTTTCCTCCAGCTGTAATTTTTCTTTATTTTAGCATTGCACAGCTATTTTTGCCACAGATGATCTGAAGTGAATTGCTGACATCATATTTGAAATATGCTTCTTCTTTTTTTTATTAATACATGACAACTATATATTTTTTTTTGTTTTAAAATGTGATATCTTGTCTTTCCAAGACTTCCAAATAAACACAGGTTTTGATTAATTTGAAAACCATCAAAAACTGTTTTTTTTCAGTATCCACATGTCTGTGTAAATGGGGTTGTAATTCTTTTCAAAAGTAATCTGAAAACCTTGTATAAAATCACAGTATAAAATATAACAAACTTGATCACCTGCGCTTGAGATCAAACTTAAATCAAAGTAAAAAAAATTGTACTACAACATTGGTCATGTTATGTGTTTAAAAAGCTGTTTCCTGTGTAATTATTAAATTATTTTTTTAATTTTCTGGTCAAAGAAAAGGATCTTCTGTGGAGGATATCTTTAAGGAGTTTACAAAAAAAAGTTGTCTTTATTTCAGGAAACTTAAATAGTTTTATACACCCTCTTGAACAGTTACTATGACTGAACCTGAAATACTCCGAAAATTCACTTTTGACAAAAACTCAACAACACACACTTCACAGTTTGCTCTCCAAGTGAAGGATACACACTTCAGGTTTAGTAATAATCACTGCTCAAGAGGTTACACTCGAAACTTTCTGAAACATCAGCTTGACTTGAATCTTTTTCATTTTTCCTCCATTATTACCTCCACTTGAGGAGTGCCTTCATAACTAGTCTGTCGGTCAGCCCCTCTTTCTTATGAAATTTTAGAGAATTTGAAACCCTCTCTGTGTGTTTCCTTCAGCTGCTTCTTTTTTACCCACATAAATCTGGACAGTGTGTAATCGCTGCATCAAACTAATGTTTAAAAGTCTTTCTAAAATGTCATGCTGTGTTGAAGCGTTAAACACAGAGAATCATTGGCTATTAGTGTGCTGAAATTGTTGCATGTACATGCAAACTAAGCAGGTTTGGAGGAACATGTGCTTTTCGTATTGCTCGTGATGCTGGCAGAAAAGGAGGAACTTGGCTGACCTCTGCTGGGCTCTGACAGGCACAGTTACAGATGTTGATCAGGGTTAATGATTTGATGCAGGATGTATATTTGTTCTCAAGGCTTCCTCTGGCTTTTATTAACCACTGAAAGGTTTCAGGGATCATTAGCAGAGTCAGAGCTGCATCCTGCTGCTGCTGCAAACGGCTTCAATTTAGCAGCAGCAGCAGTCGTCTGCGTTCTCTCCAGATTCCTAAGTGTTCTCATAGTCCAAATGTATTCTGAAATGCAAATAACTTTGACCTTAAATGACTAGATTTCTGTGGCTGTACAATGTATCCTGCAGAGAAATGATGATGCAAGAGATGGAGGCTTAAATTACATGGACGTAAACACAAAATCTCAGGTTTTTTAATTAGGGTTTTGAATGTGGAAAGTGGAAAGAATCTATCTTCACTGCGAGGAGAAAGAAGTGAGGTGGAGGGAGAGAAAGTAAACGAGTGAGTGAGGGAGTGAGTGAGGGAGGGAAGCAGATGGCTGGAAATATAGCCTGCTAAATTATTCATCTGGGCTGGAGTCTGGAGATAGATAGATGGATCGGGGCTGGCATGGACACTTTTATTAGGATTTCAGGAGCTGTGAGCAGAGTGGTTTCAAAACACCGTGATTGTCTTGTGAGAGTAAGAAAAATAATTGCATCAGGCTCTTTACTGGAAGAGTTCAAATCTCCAGCTCTCTCTGTGAGGAGGGACTGTCCTGCAGGATCAGGACAGACATGCACCTGGATGTTTTGCTTCAGAAGTATGAAAATGACTCAGTACCGTTCATCGCTGTGATTGTTTCGGCTGCAGTAATTCATCTCACTCTGCAGCAGTGAGGAAAATGAGTAAAGGAGAATCATTTCAAAACAGCCTTGACTCCAAATTTGACTGGTGAAAACTAAAGCTCTGTCCACGGTTGTGTAGATATGTTTGAGGACACGTTCAAGGAGTTTCAGAAAAGTGGGGATTTTTAGAAACTCTATGTGAATTCATGTAGACAGCAAAAACTTGAGTTTTGGGAAACACTGATGTTGCCTTGACTTACACATGACAGTTTTTATTTAACATGTACTTAACATGCCCAAAAAGCAACCAGTCAGCATCTGATTTCATGTTTGAAACTTCCTACTTGTGTTGACTTTCGAGCCCCTGTGGAGTAAATGACTGGAGCACTTGGTTCAGTCTCTCAGCGTCCTGTCAATCATCTGGCCTGACACCTACCCTTAGACAGTGCTTTCAGGAACTGAAAATTACAGCATAGATTTGATTTGTTTCATCACTGATGGTCTCATTTGCCTTTGTAGGTCAAATAAAGGCATCACTGTGAATTTGAGTATATTTCATAACCAATGAAAAACTCCTTATGGTACCTCTAAAAACATGTGTGGACATAGCCTAAAGAAGAATATACAGTGTACAAAGATATCAAGAGCTTTATTTATATTTCCTTAAATCAGAGACTACTTTCCTTGTTGCACTCGTCCAGTTCTTGCAAAGTCAGAGAGGTTTTAAAAAGTCAAAGAAACACTTTTAAATGCGCTTTTTTGACCAGGACAAACTTCTCCTCATGAGGTAATTCTGGTTAGATACGTCTAGCTCTGTTACTGGTATGTTAAATAAGATGCAGTGATTTTTTTTTCTTCTAAAATCAGCAACAGCAGAGTCTAAATTTGGGAAAAATGAAAAAGAAAAATCCTTCACACGTACTTTAAACCTGAAATTTGAAAAATCTTCTCCACAAATCCAGTCGTGATTGCATTGAATCACATCAACTGCAGTGGTATATTTTATTGCCGACCATCGTTTGTTCTCCAGCAGAGTGTTTCGAGATGTTTTTGTAGCCTGAGTGTTGTCCCCCTTACTGCGGCATCATGAAGCCTGTTGTTCCCTCCTGTTCAGATCTTTGCTTGTGTTGTTCTTACTCTCAGATGTGCGCCACTTTGAACAAAAGTGTCTGCTTAATGAAACAGTGACAAACACTTTCCTCCTCATCCCTGCAGAGTTTGATGTCGGCAGGACAGTTGAAGGAGAATTTTAGTTTCCCTGCTGGTTCATTTTATTTTTATTTTTAGAAAAGTGATTTTGTTAAACCTTTTTTCTTAACTCCTGTCCTTCCACTGAAACTCTCTTTGGATTTAAAACTCTGTGTAAATATTTTCCCTAAAAAAACATGCCTGAAGGATCTAACAATTCAGGGAAATTTAATCAATACTCCTTAAAGATGACTAAATTCTTCATTTTGACCTCAGCTCACTCTGCCAGAGGGGATCTTGGGTGTTCTGTGGTGTCTGAAAAGCTTTTTTAAAAACTCAGGGGGATGCGTGGATTTGACTTCTTTCCAATTTCCCAACCCCCGTGTCTGTATAATCAAAAACTAAGAAAAATATTGTAAAAATGTCCTTTTCTTTTGTCTTAACAAACAGGATTTAGGAATGGAGTGACTTGGGGTGCAGGGTGCTCTGTAGAGAAGGAAGTTTAAGGTTAATCTGAAATGCTGTCATACATTTTCCTGCAATGTCAGAACACTCACACAACAGATCTTCATTTTCATTCATAATAAATCTATACGTGGTGTTTCAGCATGCGAGGAAAAAGGTAAATTTAATCCGTATTTGATTGTCTAAACAGCAGCTATGTCCAATTTAAGCCCTGTGTTTGCAGATTATAACAGCAATGAATGAGGAGAGAACAATCTCTCACAGATGCTCTCGTCTTTGATTGCAGACACTGGGCGTGTGCAAGGTGATACAAGATGCTGTAAAGTGTCTGGAAAAGCAGAACAAATCAGTTCAAGCCAAACTGACATATATCACAGTATTTTAGCTGCAGTCACATCTTCCTTATATCTCATACTGCAGAGTCGAAGTGCTTCGAAAAAAACAGAACTTTCCTCATAAACAAGCTTCTTCATTTTTACCTTTACTGTCTATGAAATGGTTCAAGATTCAGGATGCAGAAATACGTTTTAGACTTGCTTCTGTCAAGCGTGTTTTCTCTGCAGAGTCTAGTTACTGCAGGACTATCCTTTACAAACGAGCTCCCTCTTTATTTTGACATAAATTGTCTCTGTATAAGGTGACTCAGGAGGCAAAATAATGTCCCAGCCATGCTTTGATTGGATTATAGGAGCTGCTGTGATGTATTTTCTCAGACTAAATGCATGACAGGCCAAATAAGTAAAAGAAATGACTGAAAATTAAACTGCAAATGTTTTTGCCCTTGATATGAAGTGCTCCAGGAGGTTGTGTGATGTCTAAAAACACATCGAAAAAGAGTTTTTGTAGTGCATGGAAAAGGTTATTGCAGCCTTGATCATGCAATCAAACCCAGCACCTGCATAGTTTAACCAATAAGAAAATAAAAACACGAGGAAAAGTCGACTAAAACCTCCTCTCTTTGGTTCAGGTCACTGAAAAGTTCATTTGAGGTGATTCTGGATGCAGAAAAGTCAGTTTAATCGGACACTTTATCAGATTCCCTGGTTTCAATCATTGTAAGTACAAAAATGTCAAATCAGATTTGAGGAAAAGTCTTCAACAAATGCTCTCCTTCTAAGTTTTGTCCAAAGATGTCTCCGCATGAGGAGATTCAGGACGCTGAGTTTTTGTCTGAAAATTTGCTGGAAGCTGGAGCGTCCCAGCTGCCCTGTACTGTTCGGGTTTAGAGGAACAAGTTGTTTTGAACACTGAGGTTCAAAGAAAATACAAAAAAAAAAAAAAAAATGCTACAAAAGGGGGAAGCGACCTGGTTCGTAAAATAAGATTTGTGGTTTGTATGTGAGGTGAACGTCTGTGCAGGAAAGCCCTTCAGAGTGTTTCAGAGAGTCTCAGCAGACTCAGAAAAAAATGAAATTTCATAAAGAAATTGCTGCGATTTTTCATTCGACTGTTTTTTACATGCATGAAAAATATTTGCACAAAGACAGGCGCTGTTTGCTTTCCTTCCCCCTTCGCTTCGACATATTGAGACAGTAAATACTCTCTCTCTACGTTCTATTTTTCCACTTAGCTTTGAGCATCATGTGTAGCATATATGACTCTCCCAGACACACACACACACACACACACACACACACACACACACACACACACACACACACACACACACACACACACACACACACACACACTCCTGAGTGGAGGGCTCCGGGGAAATAGAGCAGAGAGGAAGCTACGTGCCTTCGCCAAGCAAGGGCTGTCTGGTGTCATGGCAACCGGTGCAGATTACCCCACCCTCCATCACTCAGAGAGGAGAGGAGAGTAGGGGAGAGAGGGATGAGCGCGCACACACATGCATGAATGTATAGAGGCACACATAAAAAGCATTACACAACACCCTAAATGCTCTTAAATGATTCATAAATAATCTGTTCAAACGTGTAAACTTATGCTTGTCAGCTTTTTGTGGCGCAGCATCCTCTTTTTCTTAGGAGGAGAGGTAGGAAAGGAGAGGGGAGGAGGAGGAGAGAGATGAAGAGAGTGGTGCAGGGAAAGGTGGAGGGGGCCATAAACATATAGTAGAGCTAAATACGTCTGGGGGATAAACTCTTATTAAAAGCAGTAAGGTTATCCGACACAGCTGTACTGTGGGGGTGGGCAGTTAGCATCGAGCTAACGCCCTAGCCACCAGAGTCCTATTGAAATGAAGTTAAAGGGGAAATATTATGCTCTTAAGTGTGCATGTGTGTAGGTTAAAGCCTGAGGGGTGAGTAAAGGGGAAAAGGAGAGAGAAAGGATGCCAAGGCAGGAGGAGAGCTGAGGCAGTGATGCATGGACAGGCATGAGGGTGGAACGAGGTTAGTTTGAGATTTTTGTAGCAGAGCAAGAAGAGAAAGGGTGTGGATGAGATAAATGACAGCAGCACCGAGAGTAGAGAGAGGAGGGAGGAGGGAGGAAAAGGGAGTCGAGGGCGTTTGAGGATATCGCCTCCTAAATTGACTGCGGCACAGCCATCGTCCACAGTTACATCACAGCTGAGCTCAAACTCAGGATGAACCCACCTCCCTCTCTTTCTCTCTCTCTTCTCTCTCCCTCTTTGTCTCTGCCAACCACAAAGCACCCCGAAGCCAACTTTTGACCGTTTGGCAATTAAGCAGAGATGACTGAACGTGTGCGATGGGATGTATCATAGTTTAATGAGATGCACCGGAACAGGATCAGACTCAAATTTAGAGCAGACGTTTTCGACTCTCTGTCTCCTCTCTGTTTTTTTTTTTCTTTTTTAGTTTTTTTTTTGTGCTGCAGTCATCGAGGTTGCAATCCACTTCATTCAGGCTCTTGTAGTAAACAAGATGCTGCACATTTATTAAAGGCTGTATCCTCTCTGTTGGGGCAGCCTGTGATTTGGAGTCAATTAGCACAACAACAGACAGTGATTCTGAAAGCATTATTATAAACAATATTCAAATTATCAATGCACTGAAATTAGACTTAACACCCCGCTGTTTCGAAGTGCACACACTCCTCCAGCTCTGCAGGAGAAGGCGGGGGTCCACAGCCCTGCTGAAGGGCACCTTCACAAACCTGTTCTTACTCCAGACTTCTCGAAAACACCAGCCTCATTTGCAGCCCAGTGTTTCAAAACAAGACGATCAGGGATCGACGTAACAACAGGCAGGGCTTTGGGGTCAATTTAGTATTGATGACATGCAACCTCCAGTCAAACAAAAGCAGTAAAATAAACAAATGAACAAAAGCAACATGAAAACATCAATTTACCGATTCCCCACTTGAATCTGTGAGCACAGACCAGAGCTGTCATATCACGGGCAAAAAAGTAATCATGATCAGGCTATTACTGCAATTACTTACACCTCATTTCCCCTTAATATTAAATACCTTTGCACACAATATGAAGATGATAAATAGGTTTAAAAATATAGATGATGACCTGTTTGATCTTTTCCTCTCCTCCTATAGGAGCTGTCAGGACAGACTGAAACCTACAGATGACGCCCTGCAGTAACCTGTAAGTACTGATTCATTCACGACTCTTTCTTTATCTACTGTCATGCCATTTTCAAATAAAGGCAGAAATGCAGACAAATAAATCAAAAGAAAAAGATTAATATATTTTTGGTGCCCTTTTGGTATACTGTATGTAGTTTAGCATCCACCTGCTTCCTCCTGCAGCTGAAGGCAACATCCCTGTGCTTTAAAAAGCTGCATTTCAGCCTTTGGCTCACTTCAAGTCAATCAATCATAACCTTTCAATCAATCTTTATTTATAAAGACTAAACTAAATCCTATGTTAATTTTTACAAAGACGTAACATAAAGATGGGTTAAAAAAATTATCGTTGTTATTTATGCGTAAATTTGACCCTTAACCCGCTGAAAATCTAAATCTTTGTGATGATTAAATTGAGCTGTGTTTTTCTCACATTTCCCCCTCTGCCAGCTCTGATTTTATTCCACCTAAAGTGACCCAAAAACAGGATCATTTCTAACAATACAGCTCTCCAGGCGGTGACATTTTCCTTTTTAAACTCTGTGTTTCTGACACTCTCTCCTCCCGGGTGCTGCAGTGGACATGTCTCTAACTGTAAATCTCCCCCTGCTGCTATCTCTGCCTCTGATGTGCCGACACCAGGCAGTTTGAATCCCACACAGACACCGAGTTTGTCGACGAGGATTTCAAAGAATCGAACGTCACTTTCAGCTTTGTTCAAAGTGTAGAGATGTGTTTTGAACATGTCAGGTTCCTGTGTCCTCTCTGTCTCGCTGTCTGTCTCTGTGTGATGCAGCTGTTAGCGTTCTGTGGTCACCGCTCTATAAATACAGCAGCTGACTGATGGGCCCTGCAGCAGCTGTCGGACACATAATGTACACACTGATGGAAACAGCCAGAAACACATGTGGGGTGTTTATTGTAGTTAAAGCATTTTGTAGACTCCTTCACATGGGGAGACCACCGGCAGATTTTCGTTCTTCTTTGTCGAGAGTTCCTGTAACATAATCTGTGTATAATAAAACAGCGCTTGTTTAATAAACGGCTCTTATTCACTAAGAGTTTAAATAATTCGGAATTTATTCTTGCAATAGCTTGTTTAATAAATGGTTCTTATTCACTAGGAGTTTAAATAATCGGAAATAATAAAATCAGGGCTGGAGTGGGTCTCATTTTCAGCCCTGGAGTTTTACGGTTCAAACCAGCCCACTGTAGTTCACATCCTCAGACTTGCTTCTTATAATTGTGGCCTTACTAGTCTTTAAGTCTGAAACAGAGCACTCAAAAACCACAATAATCATGGTGTAGAGGAACAGGAAACAAAAGTTACTATGGAAGTCCCGATACAACTTTTTGACTTTCGATACGGTACTGATATTGTAGCCTTCAATATTGACCAATACGGATATTGATCCAAAATTGGCATAAATTGTGCATGACAAGTTTTTCACTCAGCTGCAAAGTCTTTTTGGACTTAAACAAAAAATACTACCACAGGGCCGACATCACTCTTACTTCTTGCTGCTTTGTTAGTACCTTAGTTCACACTGTTGTTGGGAATTTGTGGGTTCAGCTTGCTGGACCAGGACATTTCTAGCTAGAGTTTTTAGATTGGAGATTTTAGATGCAGGCCCATATAATCTGATATTAGATTTTTTTGCTGATATCGAACCGATATCCGATATCAATATTGTATTGGGACATCCCTGCCAGCATTTCCTTTAAAATTTCAGGGAGGTTATTATTACATTACTGTTATAACTTGACCATATATTGTTTTTGGCATCTTGATTTTTTGGCTCTGTCAGCTTACCTGTCACATCGACAGAGAGCCACAAACTTGATTTGATAGAAACGTATTTGCTGCTCATATCTGCAGGGTCGTTACACACCTGTTAAGCCCAGTCTGCTGCACTGTCTGATGAATGAAGATGTAGTAATGGGGCAAAGTGGTTCTTCCTCTGACCCCCTCTATGGCAGTTACAGAGACAATACGAGGTAAGACAGTGGCAATGTATAACACTGATTTAATTTCCTTATTATTGGTCAGCTGATATTTGTATTATCAATCCCTGGTCAGCTTTATGCTGCAGGTTCAAAATGTGCCACAGCAATGACATCATTATTCACAGTCTAGCATGACAGCAAGAAGTTTCCATGTTTAATTATGGTCTCTATCGAGCTCACTGCACAGTCTACTAATTCTGATTTATTTCGCAGATAGTAGGGAGGTGTTAAAGGTGAGTTTTTAGTCTGGGCAGAGACTGACATGGCGTACCACTTAGAGAATAAGTGATTTTTGGTGATATTTTTAAGTATTTCAGGGTTAAGATCCAAATATTTGTAAAGAAACTGTGAATGAAGATATAGTCTAGACAAAGGTCAAGTAAGGGGACAAACTTTTCAATTAAAAAATGTAGCACTACTCCCACAGGATGACCTTTGATCGAGCACATTTACATGCAAGGAGGATTTCAATCATTGAAGGGTCACTGCTGGAAAGTAATTCAAGCGTTGTTGCTTGTGTTCATTTGGATTCTGGTTCAGTAATACCAAAGTCCAAAGTGTGATCTTAGTTTAAAATGGAAAGTCTCCAAAAAGGTTCCCAAACTTGGCAGAATATCAGCCGCACTGCAAAAGAAAAAGTCTTACTGTCTGATGTTCTACCCAGTATACAAAGCTGATATCAGAATTACACTTTTATTATTTCATTCATCACTACAGTCACAGACAGTGGACAGACGGATCCATCAATGGTCTCCTCCTCTGTCTCACACACATGACAGCAGAGAGTGGCAGTGAAACAATGATGCGGATGTTGAGAATCCCACATTTATCCTCCCCATTCAGCGCTGCAGCAGCTGCACAGACATAAGGAGAGGCATCATTACAGCGAGCCGAGCACTGTTAATAGGCCCGCGACGTGGGGGGCCTGCCGGCTCTGCACGGGGGAACCGAAAAGGGAGGGTGCGAGGGAGAGCATGGAGAGGTCACGGGGTGACGGAAGAGGACAAGGTGTGGGAGGAGTGTTTGAGACAGGAGGAGCAGAGGGAGGAGTGAACGTGAGTTTGTGTACAGTGAAGGGTGTATTTTTATCTTTTCCTGAATGAAAGCTCATGAATGGATATGGTTTTTGCTTGCCAATTTCTGAAGCAAAAATGGCTCCAACCCAGCAAATATTTAGTGAGGGATGGTGATTGATGTGTTTGTAGACACTCTGAAAAAATCTGCGTAGGTGTACCATAAGAAATGTGCATCCGTCCATAGCTGGATATCTTCATCATAATGTTTTAACCCGTTTCTTCTTGCTCTAATCAGCACTTCAGTTTAACCACTATGATCTGACAGTATACCACTGTCTATAACCTATTAATAAGAGTATTACAACACCTTAACCCCAGTCTAGTACTTACATTTGGACCAAAGCTTCGATTAGAAAGTGTCCATCTTCAGTCACATTGCCTCGTGTGATTTCTTACTTTGCACAAAATTGGCAAACACCAGAGCCAGACCTGAAACAGCAATGAGTCAGCCAGCTGTTACTGTGAGGATGGATTTATCTACAGCCTCTGGTGCAGAAAATTGATCCCCAAAAACAATTTTCTAAGGAGCTAATCAGAAGGGATTTCTGTCTGTGACGAGCACCAGAGCTATGAAGAAGCACAAACTTCAGAGAAGTTACACTGCGACTGCACAGCCATGACTCTGAATTGGAAACCACTGCATAGGCTGAAAAATCACCTCCAAAACTGTAATCTACTACAATGTCGTTTGGTTTGTTTGTTTTGTTTTTTTTGGAAAGGGTTTTGGTCCCAATTTGTCACAATATCCTCGAATACAAATCAAAACTGTGACATTAGGAAGTTACGTAAAAATATTGTCTGGAAATGTCTGTGCCTTCTGAGACAACCTCATATAAGGTGAACTGAGGCAAAGAGAGACACTGTCAAGTGGTCTGACAAATCAAGAGTTTACATGCTTTGTGGAATTCATAGTTGCTGCATCTTCTGCTGTAAAGAGAGGAGAGTCCACTCGCCTTTATATCAGTGTGCTGCTCAAAATAACATCCTTGGTGGTTTAAGGATGCATGAGTACCCACTGATAATGCCAACACATCAGTGCTGAACAATTAAGTCCAGTTTTGGAGCAAAAAATGCTGCTATTCAGACAAAGAAGACATTCCAAAATTCAGCAAGAAGATGCAAACCGCATTTCAACAGTATAATGGTCAGTAGTGGTAGAAGCTTGACATCAATAAAGGATTTACACCGCATTCAGACTCTTTACAACGTGTTCTGAGGATTTTCTTTTGAGGTGATTTTACAGATTTCTTTTCTCTCTTTGTTGTATTATTTGGATCCAGCTGCAGTATCTATGAGCGTGTGTGTGTGTATGTGTTTTATGAGAAACTCCTCTTAACCTTCCAAAAATCTTGCTGTATCTCCTTGTCATTCTGTCATTTTCTCGTTGTGGGATATTGAACGTTTTTCTCTTAGTTAAAGAAAGGTGGGTTTCTGGGTGTAGCCTGCAGACGTTTTTGTGAATAACGTGTTTTGCACAGAAAACCTTCACAGTCTGTGTGTTTGTGTATCGTGTGCATGTGTCTGTGTCTCCTGCTGGTCTGAAGGTCATGCCACCCCCATGCTCTGCTTCATGGAGAGCTGCCAGTGCTGACGGCTGCTGCTGCTGCACTGTGTGTCTGGCACATGCTCCCCCCTCTGCA